ATATATATATTCTATACTAAATGTCCCAGAATCGACGTATATCCTTAATATGACATATTTTTTGAGACATTCCAAGACGAAAGTTTAAATATGAAAATGGTGAGGCTGTAACAATTTCAAAGTAACTTAGATTTTTTGGACTTTTCGATTTAGAAATCGGCTTACTTTTCCCTTAACAGAATATATAAATTTTGTGGACCATGTTCGCTGTAAATTATTAAATTACACAATATTCACTTGGCATCTAATCTATTTTATCTTTTGCTTCTAATATTGTCATGTAACGCCTGATTCAATTCAGTCCGCATTCAATATTAGCATTAAAAAAATTTTTTATAGTACCGATGTGCATAGAAATGCGCCACGTGTAAACAAAGCCATTTTCTTTCTGATAATTATATTACAAATTTGTAAACATGTACTATAATTATCACACAAATTTTCGAACGGTAACACCTTTATCAACCGTCCGTGTTGCCACATTCAGTCGTTTATAATTGAAAAAGTTATTGCAGTCTCATCATTTTCTCCCACTTGAACTTTTCATCTCAGAATGTCCCGAAGAATCTGATACGTTTGGAATACGGTAGTTCTGGGACACCCTGTATATACAATATACACACGACGCATTTCCATTAAAGTAGACATCTCACGCGTTAGATATAAGAATTACATTGCAACGTGGAGGTAAACGTGAGGAAGAATAATTCCGATGTACTTGCTTTTCGCAACACGACATGGATATTCGATATTTGTCGTCACTACAGGTGAAAAAAATTATGCAATGCTAAACAGCATTTTAAGAGCTGTGATGTTATCACGACGACGAACTCAATGTCTTGCATATTCAGTTTTTCTATTCACGGCACTGAGAACTTTACGTAAAAGTGCACAAGAAGGGAGAGAGATACGATATATATACTGATGTTATGTATCACAAATCATAACTCCGGGTCTTTCTAGAATTTAATCACAACTTTGTTGAATGTGGTTTCGGTAGATTTCTCTCCTGAGTGTGACGATACCATCACGCTGTGACGTAGGATCGATTTGCTTCCGTATTAACTTGGCTTCGGATTAACAAACTGAATTTCGGCGTTGCGTTTGACTGTTGACCGAAGAAAACTTCAGATTCTTCTTAATGTAAGTTTCGTTGAACGAAATCATTTTCGCACCGCCTGTGTTAAGTAATCGTATATCGCGCAGTGTTGCGTACGAGAGTGGTGGTATTGAAAAGTTTCAATCTTTTCAATCTACCCTCGTATATATAGAAGAGGGGGGGAGTTATGTTAATCGTAACAACTGGAAAAGTTGTTATGGTGATTTTCAACCGTAAAGGGCCATAAAGAGCCAAAGCACCATTTATTGTTTATTATGATGAATTTTCTGCACAAATCGTTTCGCATATGAGGATACACGAGGATCATTTGGAGACCCCAGCCTTCCATTGTGAAACATGCTGAGCCTTGATTAAGTTATTTTGCTACTTTTATAATGTATACATAATGATATAAATTGAGTAAGATCGAGTGTAATGTAACGACAAGTAATGTTACTCCACAATCTAACGGCGAATGCAATGCGAGAGTTGCTGGTCGAAGTAATTTTTCGCACACGTATGTTTGCGAGATTGCGTTTTCCCGCTTAAATATTAAATCTTACACATTGTGTCACCCGTAGTCCCTCAATTGTATTTGTCATTGTTGTTGTGTTCATGACTTGACAACTCTTAAAGGTTCGAAGGATATCGCTCGATATCACGATTGTATTTCTTTGTGACGTCGGAGGCGAAATTATCCGATCAATCGTAAGACGTGTAGTTTGTACTACAAAATTAGCCGGTTAATTATTAATTGCGTTGCGCGGATTCGTCCGCGAATTTACGTTAATTTTAGCGCACCCGGCAAGAAGAGGTGTGAGTCACACATATCACGTGTGACCCGTATAATCCAGCAGTATTATAGAAGTACTTTTCTGGTAGGCCACAATTGTGAAATATACACTAGATTCACGTCGAATATACGAATCTTGAGCAAATTTTTCCCAGTACACATGTACACACACCGTTCGTGAGTCCCTGAATACTGGCGATTGAGAGAAGAAAGAAGATAGCTCACACGAAGGTCGAAACGTTCAGGCGTTCAACAATCACCTGAGAAACGCGAACTCTAAATTCAGACTCAAGTATCTTACACATCCCGGGGAAAAATTATATATATATAATTATATAAATATATATGTTATATATATATACATATATATATATTTTTTTCTATTGTATATATTTTATATATTTGTGTATATATATTTTATTTATATATATTTTTCTATATTATTATATATATATTTTTTAATATTCTAAGGATGTTTTTATAATATGCCAAGAATATTATGTGAAGTGGACATGTATAACATCAATAGAATATTCCTATAATATTGAAAAAATATATAATATTCTTAGAATATTATAAGAATATTATTTTAATATTAAATAATATTTATTTAATATTCTAGGAATATTACGCGCTTATAGGGAATATATTTGATTACATATGGCCGTATAGAGACAAAATATTCATATATAATCATTTTTTTTCCGGGATGCGGCAAGTTTCGTGAATAACGGGAATATCAATACGGACCTCTGTCAGTACTCTTCGCTATTTGCTCTTCGGATTACCCGCGGTTTCACGGACTCACGTGAACGAACGGTGGCGTATTCTTTATAACGCACTTAGTCCACACACAACCAACGGAATAATTGCGATATCTATTTCACGGTATATTCACGCCGAAATGATCGGATTTAGGCCCTTATAATGTAGCGCATAGCGGATGTATAGAATTGTAAAGCACTGTCCATATTTTCAGTCAGCGTGACTGGTGATTGAATCGAAGAGTATGTCCTACGGAATGCGAAAAGATGTATATGTTGTGTATGTGTATGCATGTGTGTGTATAGTAATATTATTCCGTTACGCTTTCTTTCTCGCAAAAAGGAAGTCGAAATCTTTCTACGAGCTCTACGTTTAATTTAATTTTAATTTCGTCAATTCGATGAAAATTTGTTTTTCGTTGAACGAACATATCCGATTCCATCGTGAGAGGGGGAAGAAAAGTAGCGTTCCAGTTATGTTTCTTTCTTATTTATTTCGTATTTATTTACTTTGTTCGACGGACGAGTATCGTCGCACGAATGTCAAGAAACGGTTGTAAACTCCAACTGATTAGAGATAAGCGGGTGTTATCTTTTTCGTGCGAATGTTGAAATGTTTGTAAATGATTCTTCTTCAAGGATGTCTTTCCAGTTGATGTGAACGGTCGCTATAAGAGTGTATTGGATGCAAAATAAAACCATATTACATGTAATCTCTCGGCACGCCGTTAATCACGTCCTAAACGACAATGGGAAGAATCAGGTCTTTACGTTATAAATTTCTCGAGCTAGAATTTTGCTCAAAATAATTAAAAAAGTAACAATATTTTTTCGCTCGAGGCGACAGTGAAGAATACCACCGCTCGAGATCGCAAAAGCAAATATTTCATTCAAACTTCGAGCGGACTCTGAACGTCGATTAACATAATTTTTTCCTTAGAGGGCGGAAACGTGAAAAGTGAAATGTTTTCTAATTAAAAAATTCACACTTTTCACGAATTCTGGCTGGAAGAGAAGATTATTCATCATCAACGCCTAAATTGTCATAAATATTTTCCTCTAGGGTGCGTTCGGGGAGACATAAATATAAACACTACTAGCGCTACAACACAAACATAAATACAAACACTAATAGCGCTATAAATACAAACACTACTAAACTGTTCGTGGGACGCTAATAGCGCGATAGCAAGTTCCACGAACCGTTTTGGCGTAACATCAGTATTCGGTCTGTCCTTTTTAGCTAAACTGCGCAATAAGTGCAATAAGTTAGAATGAGACAAGTATATTTTGTCAAATGTCCCTAGGAATAGGAAATTCCCATACATATCTCAAAACTTGACGATAAATGGCACATGCAAGAAAGGTATCGTGAATTTCTAACCGTGCGGAAAATGTATCGATAACTCGAGCACGCCATGCCGTGAAACCAATTGGAAAGCCCTATATCTGTTTGGATTAGAGTTGGGCGATATAGTATCGATACATGGGGAAAACCCTATTTCCCTATGTATCGATACTGAATCGCTCAGCTCTAATTTGACGGCAACAAACGGTTATGCATATCATATATTTCATCCCTGGGGGAAGGGGGAGGGGGGGGACTATCAACAAACAGGCATTCGGAGAAACACCGGCAGAAGAACAAGCGTAAGGCCACCGTTTCCACCGCGACGGTAGAACGGAGACGGCGGCGCCGCGTAGCGAGCGAGCGAGGGAGACACGCGCGGCCAGGCGAATTCGCATGTTCGCTGGACACGGTGTTCTCGGTGCGAGGACGACGGTTTTCGCGCTACCTGTTAGACGAAGGCTCGACGGATGATACAAAAACACGTGTCTTTTCCGTAGTCCCGTAGCGTCGATAATAAATCGCGTTCGCCCAGGGGGGTTGCGTTCGATCGTGCGCGGCCACCGTCAGCAGCAGCGCGAGAACGGTTCTCGCGTGGGGGAGAAAATCTCGAGCGGCGACGTGGACGACGACGACGACACCTCGCCGAGACGCGTTCTCACGTCTCTCACCAGATCCGTCGTCGAAGGGAAAGCGGGGCCCGTGCGTAGCGCGACGCGGCGCGGCCATTTTATGTTAGTATGACGTAGAGGCTGGGTGTAGCTTCGCGTTCTTATTGCCCCGGTTGGTGTGTGCTGTCGGTGTGCGCGGCGAGACCGAGAGGACGGATAGTTAGTAGACCTGATGCGCGGCGTCCCATGCTGCTGCTGGCGGAACGCTTGGATGCACGAGCGGCAGCGCGAGTGCGGCGGTGAACTGATCATCATCGCGTCGCGGCGCGCGGTGTTTCGTCGTACTTGGTTGTCTTCCCACGGCTGCTGTGTGTAGTTACACGCGGAAGCTAGGCAGGGTAGCCTCGAGCAGCGTGCGTGCGGCAGCGAGTCGGCTCTGGCTTGCCTATCTGGCGAGCGAAAGCGGTCGAGTGAACCGTGCGGAGAGAGAGAGAGAGAGAGAGAAAGAAAGAAAGAAAGAGTGAGTAAGAAAGAAAGAGAGAGAGAGAGAGAGAGCGAGCGAACGAACGAGCGAGCAGGAGAACGAGTGAGAAATAGGAAGGAGGAGGAGGGGAGGAAGAGAGAGCGTGTGCCACAGAGCGTAGTACGAACGAGCGAGTGAGAGCGTAGAAAACATTATCAACGAGCTGCTAGGTAGAGAGAGAGAGAGAGAGCTAGCGAGTGCCAACGGTAAGCCGAGAGAGTGAGTGAGAGTGAGAGTGAGTGTGCGAGTGCGTGTGTGTCCCGCTGCGGCAGTGTGGTACCGTGGCAGCGCGCGCGCGAACATGAGCGAGGAAAGCAATCCGCGTACTCTGTACGTGGGCAACCTGGACACGACGGTGTCCGAGGACCTTCTGTGCGCGCTCTTCTCGCAGATCGGCGCGGTGAAGGGTTGCAAGATCATCCGCGAGCCCGGCAACGATCCGTATGCGTTCGTCGAGTTCACGAACCACCAGTGCGCGGCCACGGCTCTGGCCGCCATGAACAAGCGCTCGTTCCTGGACAAGGAGATGAAGGTTAACTGGGCGACCAGTCCGGGCAATCAGCCGAAGCTCGACACGAGCAATCACCATCACATATTCGTGGGCGATCTCTCGCCCGAGATCGAGACGCAGACGCTGAAGGAGGCGTTCGCGCCATTCGGCGAGATCAGCAACTGCCGGATCGTCCGCGACCCCCAGACTCTGAAGAGCAAGGGCTACGCGTTCGTCTCGTTCGTGAAGAAGTCCGAGGCCGAGGCGGCGATCGCCGCGATGAACGGCCAGTGGCTCGGCTCACGCAGCATCCGCACGAACTGGTCCACCAGGAAACCACCGCCGCCGCGGTCCGAGAGGCCGAGACACTCGAACAATAGTAAACCCAACTACGAAGAGGTACGCCGGCCCAGCCAAGTCAGTCGATCAGTCAGTCGGTTATTTAGTTAGTTAGCTGTTTGCTTGAAATTTACGTCTTGTTCAAGTCCCGACTACTTACGATGACGCTACTCGCGTAACGGTGCGGTTATCTGTGATAGACCACTCGCACGATTGTGCCTGTAACTTCCGTCATTTCGCTTGTGTAAGTTAGGTGCAACTTACATTCGTTTCGGAGCAGTCGGTATGTGAGAGCGTAGTCTGCGACGGGCAACGGTAGGAATATATTCGTAAGAACGAGAATATCGACCGGTCATACTCGAATGTGTGGGAAACGATCGACTATGATCGGTTGATCTCTTGCTTCTTACAAAAATGTACCGTACTCTGCCGGTTGTTGACACACGCATTAAACACGTTCAGTCCTGTATTTGTATATCCTTGTATTTCAAATACGCCAATCACAACTGCAATCCTGATGTTATGTGTAAGGATACAGAGATCAATATACATGATTATAGGCTTAGAATAGGTAGCCACTGGTGATTAGTAAGTATGAGGATCATAGATGTTCGATATGACAGTTGATGTGTGACGATATCCTGAATGCAAATTGTTCCCCACAGGTGTATAACCAAAGTAGTCCGACCAATTGCACCGTATATTGCGGAGGCTTCACAAACGGCATCACCGACGAGCTGATAAAGAAAACGTTCTCTCCCTTCGGCACCATCCAGGACATAAGAGTATTCAAGGAGAAGGGATATGCCTTTATTAAGTTTACGACTAAGGAAGCCGCGACACACGCCATCGAATCTACACACAACACGGAGATCAACGGTAGCATCGTCAAGTGTTTTTGGGGGAAGGAGAATGGCGATCCGAATAGCGTCGGCCCTAATGCGAATCACCAGGCTCAACAGGTTATATTTCCTTCCTACACGCTTAACGATCCTTCTTCAAACGTGGTCAACAATGGATAGCGAGAGTAAGAAATTAACCAATCGTAGTCGATTGTTCCCCTTATATTCGAACATGATTGGTCGATTTCTCGTTCTTGCTTCCTGTGAACATCCTCGTACCGCTCATTGTAGACCATGCTTTAACCTAATTTTAACCTACATGTCATATCTATGGACATAGGTGTTACTTATGTATAATCTGCTGTATGTTTGTTCAGAGCTTATTCATAAGAATATTGATTGATACCGTGTGTTTCACTTAGAGATCTCCGTGGATTATTTATCTTTTATATCGGACTCGCCTTCCTGTATCTTGGGAGAACCGGTTCAATGTCTGTTTCTTAAACTGTCCGATAGAAGTCTCTGAGAATTTAATGATTACCCAGAATTTATGTATAGTTTATAACGATTTGATGAATTTTATATTGATTTTATATTTTGACGATTGAACTTATGTACTTTTTTTTTCCTTTTATTTAAATTGCCACTATTGACGTTAAATTACAACCAATCTTATAGATTATCTAGTAATTTGTCTCTATATATAATTTGTCTGTCAGATAACCATTCAGCAATAGTTTCTATACTCAAACCGACCTTATTGTGTTTTACGTTTATCTATTCTTTAGATTTCTTCTCTTACATTGTTTGAATTTACAATGACACACATTTATTTATACGTCCATTGTGCAAAGCCAAGAATAATTCTGAACATTGTCGGCAACAGGTGACAGCGGGAGCCGGACAATATCCGTACGGATACGGCCAGCAGATGGGCTACTGGTATCCGCAGAGCTATCCCCAGATGCAGGGTCAGTTCTTGCAACCTACTCAATATTACGGTCAATATTATGGCCAGCAAACCCAGTACATGAACAGCATGAGGATGCCTACACCCGGTGCGGGTACTTGGCAACCGGCCCAGGCGACTGCTGCACCGCCGACAGCGAGCGCACCGTTGCCGCCGGGCCAGCAACCGACTATGGTAACCTACACAATGCCACACCAATACCCTACGCAATGAAATTCATGATTGACCGGCGTCAGCTAATTGTTAACGTTACGATATATACAGTTGTCGCGTCTCAGGGGCTATCGCGAGGAATCGTTCTGTCATATACCTACTCCAACATTCATATTATATTCGGGTATATTTTCGCGTCAACACAGGGTTCAGGATGATCGTTTTCGCGAGACTACATTATTTCTTAAAACTTGAAGAAACAAACTTGGAAAAAAAATAAGAAAAAAAAAACGAACGAACGTTCGTTGCAAGCAAAACGGAGAAAAGGGAGAACGAGGGGTGTAGAGGGGGAGAGTATCTTTGCATTGTTGAAGGGATATTCATTCGTCGGTGTGGAAGGAGGATGATAATGCTTTTATCGTTGCTTTCTTTTCCTGTGTTATTCTCCCCGCTGAGGGAACCGTGCGAAACCGTTAATTGTACCCGGACGCGCGACCGTCGATCGAATCGACGTGTCGTGCTGTATCGATTATGTAATAATTGTTCGCGATGTATATTTGACGATTTTCGCTGGCGCGCGCGCACGCACGCTGATGCGATGTGTTGAAACAGGTATATCTCCGAACCTTTACTCGCGGTCCCCTGAAAAAAAAAACACACACATACACATACAACCGAGCCCCGCACACGTTGCGCTGCGCGAGCAAGTACGGTACGTACGTATGCGGCGATTGCGTTGTTGATACCTTTTAATATTTTTGTCACTGAATACCCCTCCCCCCGTGGACGTCCCCTCAGTTTAACCGCGGATCATTGACGAACGACACGCGACAAATGTTCATTTGAGAGAGAGAGAGAGAGAGAGAGAGAGAGAGAGAGAGAGAGAGAGAGCACCGGACATAGTTAATAAAATAAGGATAGAAAAGCGATTAGCTAGACACAGCGCCTGTGATGTAGCTAGATTTTCCGACGCGTGGATACGCCAACGCGTGCGGGGCTTTTAACAAAATAAATAAACTGCGCGAGAGTAACGAGAGAGTAACGAGTTACAACTTTCCTCGTTATGTGATATTTATCGTCGGTGGTCAATGTATAAAAAAGAAAAAAAAACTTTGCTATGATTATCTTTGAGGAGAAAAACCAACAATAAGAAGAGAAAGAGACGAAGTGTGAACGAACGAGCGAGCGAGCGAAAGAAAAAAAAAGAGAGAGATGTTTTTTTTTTGTTACAGACGTGTCAGCGTATCGAGGTTTGTCGTTCGGATACGAATACAGACGCGAATTAAAATTGCTACGTGTGTGCGATATGGTGCGCGTTAAGTAAATGACGTATCGACGTGTCGCGCGCACCGCGTGTATTCTCCTCGGCTGCGTCCGTCACACGCACGCGTTTCCGTTCCTGTCGAGGCGTCCCGCGACGCGTCGTGGATTCTTGTTGCGGTATATGTTAAACTGAAAAAGAAAAACAATAGATATAAGATATAAGAACAGAGAGAGAGAGAGAGAGAGAGAGAGAGAGCTAGCATCGACGAAGTAGCCAGTGATGGACGCAGTCGAAAACTATAAGGGGGAATCCGGGTGTCCGGGTGTGCCGCTATTAATACACTCCGTTGACGCGCGCGTCGCATGATATCGCTGACTTCTCCGCCGCGTGTAGACGTATAAACGACCTGGCCAGCCAAGTGTGGAGGGTGTAAGAAATAATTTGTATAATTTAAGTCTAAATTAGAGATAAAGGAATGGTAATGGTAAAAACACATCGCATACTTCCATCGGGAGAGGGATTTCATCTTCTCGCAGCAGGCGGAAGAAGTCGGCGATATTTCCGGTCTTGGAGTCGCAATAAAAAGTGTGTGTGTGTGTGTGTGCGTGCGTGTGAGAGAGAGGGAGAGAGAGAGAGAGAGAAAGAGCGACTGGCGCGCATCGAAAGAGAGAAGGGTAATATATATGTACATTCGTGCGCTCCCGTCATGCGTACGTCACGTCGATTGTTTTAAGTACGCGGTATACCGACGATGTGAGCGATATATCTGGATCTTCGCGAATACGAAATGGGGGGGGAGGAGAAAAAAAAGAAACGATTAATCGATTGACAATCAGCCATGATGTAACACAATGTCCACACAAACACACACACATACATACATATACATATGACTCCTCCCGCGCGCAGATTGGTCGTGATCGGCACGATTCTCAACTCCTTCGTCGTGTCTTCCAAGTTTAATAATGGTAACGGAAGTTTCCGTAACACAACAACCCGTGTCGTAGTAGTTGCTTCTCTCCGGCGTCATCCCCCCGTCCCGAGATCGCGCGCTCCCTGGGCCTCGGGTGGCCCGGCCGGAGACACACCGGTGTGTGCATGGTGTGTCGCCGGTACGTTCGCGGAAGTCGCGTCGTTCGGAGTATGCGAGCATGAAGAGGGCACAGTCGCGCAACGAATTCGCCTGCCGAAGTGGACAACGTCTCAACGGGGCGTGTTGTTTCTCTCTCTCGTGTCCGCTCTCGGCGGTCGTCGATTCGCTGTATCGTCGCGAGAAACCATCATCATCCGGGTGTGTGCGTGTATAAAGTAGCTGCTGCTCGTCGTAGGCGGTTTCTCACCGGCGACTTCTTCCGACACCCACACACACACACACAAATACATACACACACACGCGAGTCCTGCGGGAAGGACAGAAAGAGATAAAGCACACGATCATTCTTCGCGAGGCAAGCTCTGCTTTAATTAAGCGTTTAGTCTACAACGGGAGTATGTTCGCAAGAAGTAAGAATAAGAAGTTGGCCAATCGTATTCGAATGTGAGGAGAACGATCGACTGTGATTGGTCGATTTCTTACTCTTACTTCGTGTAAACGTGTGCTGCAACGTGGGCGGTGGGAGTATGTTGTAAGAAACAAAGCGGGATCTACGGTGAGAATTTAAGCCGTAAGCCTTGAGAAATCGACCAATCACTATTGATTATTCTTCTATAATTCGATTGTGATTGGTCAATTTTTTTTATGCTTAAGGCTTACTACATCTATCGTAGATTCGGCTTATAAGTGAGAAATTTAGTGATCATAGTCGTTTATTCCTCTTACATTCGAATATGATTGCTTAATTTCGTACTCTTACTTTTTACAAACATACTCCTACTATTCCTATTGTAGGCCCTAAAACGTAGCCTACAATGAACGGTAAAAGTATTTAATTTAAACAACGGAAACTAAAACAACAAGAAATTTATTACACATCGCATTTTCGTGTCACAGTAATTGTATTCGTTTAAATAGCATAGTTACTTTAAATTACTACTTGTCTGATAAAACTTACAATTTCTCCTCTGATAAATGCATCTCTATCCTGTTCTTAAAACTGAATGTAAGGAGAACGACTATGATCGGAATCGACTATGATCGGTTAATTTCTTGCTTCTTGCAAACATAATCTTACCGGCGATTGTAGGGCACGTTTAAATATACACACCCATCGTGGGCCACCGTTTCACTCGTTCATCAAAACGCCGCGTTGCGTTGAGTTGATTTCGAACGCAGAGCTCCCAGGTACCTTGTCCTCTGTCCGTCGCGATCCGAAACGACAGCTATACGCACCCATTCATTTAGTAGCACCGTCTCGTTTTGTATCGCAGTAAAGTATTCGTGAAAAGGGAGGGAAAGGAAGGAAGAAAGAAAGAAAGAAACGGATCGGATGAGAAGCGGAATGAATTCTGATGACGTGTTCGACGCGCCAGATATGCTTATCACATGACACATACACACACACACAAACACACACACACACACCTTCAGTTTCCACCACCGACGGTAAAATGCCATAAAACTGTCAAAAAATCAATTTGTATAAAGTCAACACGGGGCGAGACGAAAGCAGAGATGGAGAAACGAAGTAGAAGTTGGGGTAATAGTAACGATATACAATTGACTGCGATAAGTGATATCGACAAAAGAGAGATGAAAAGAAAGGAGAGAGAGAGAGGGGAGAAGAGAAAGAGAGAAAGAAAAAGAGGGGGCGGGAGAGAAAGAATTTATTTAGGGAAGGAGGTGGAAGCTGGCTTGTCTGCAGTGGAAAAACGATAAAAAACGGTGAAAACAGAAGAAGGTGAGAAAAAATGTTATATAAAAAGTAATTTAGGTACAGAGCGGGGTGCAAACCCTCGAAGATGCTTAGGATAATGTTATCTTATAATAAAAAGAAGAAAAAACAAATTGTCCTTTGAAATGAAAAAAAGGAATAAATATTTAAAATACACATTATCTGGCATAATTGCGTGAGGAAATCCCTTCGTATCCGCCGTGATATCCATGACGATGATGATGATGATCCTCCTTCCTCACCTCCTGACCGCGCGCCCGCAACAGCCTTTCCTACGACTTCACTGTCTAATCGAAAGGTTAAAATTTATTCAGAGCTAAAATTTAGTTTATCAAGACGATGATTAAAGAATTCTATTAATTACATTACTGGGATCCGGTTCATTCGCGGAAGGTTGATGCGTACGGTTTATCTAACGATATCATCGTGCGTCATGCACGCATGAACATTGATAATTTTCCCACAAATAAAAATTTACATGTTGCAACAATAGCCGCGATCAGGCTGTTACAAGCCGTTATCCCTTTCTCTTGAATTCTTCATCAACAGAGTCGATGATATAATACGTAGTGTTTATTCAAATGTGTAGTTGTGAATATTGCATACAACGTCATTATTAACAATATTTGATCGAAATGCTAAAAAATAATGTAAACAGTATTAGTTATTGCGCGAAACTATTACAATAGTATTTTACAATCATTACATTAGATATTACAACCATTTGTGTTACAATTAATTTAACATTAATACAGTGTATGTATTTGAAAGTCAGCGGGAATAGCGTAAACACGACGGACCAATCGGATGATGACGCCTCGTGTCCAGGCTCTGATTTTAGGGTCTCCAGTCTGTATTAATATGGCGTCATCGTTCCCCCATTATGCCCGTGTAACATTACGAATTAAGATCGAGATTCGATTGAAATGCGACCAATCAGAGTAAGCTTAACCAAACCTGCGTTTAGTGAACTTTCCCCTGATTCGTGAAATCAATCTCACTCCTAATACGTAGTGCGACACGGGCATAACGTCTGCTTCGCCGGACCATGGATCCGTATCCTCCCCCTCTCGCCCCCCGTTGTTTCTTTTCTCCGTCATCGAATGGTGCCAGTCTTGAGTAACGCGTGAGCCGCGACGACACCGAAGACCGACAACTGTCAAATGACAATCTCATTTGCGGGATTACGTGCGTGTGGTTGAGAAAGAATGGCAGCGGAGATAAAACCCGCCCCAGGAGTGAACAACGACAAATTCAGCAGCAGCCGTAAGCCGGTCCTTCTCTCGAAATTGGAGGGATGCAGTGACGACGTGAACGCGGCTATCATTATCCCGCGGGAGGAGGGTGTAATCAGTGTTTGCGATGACAGGTATCCATGCTCCTTTTAGCAAGATCGCGTCGTCGCGATCTCACGCGTCCCTCTCTTCGGACCGCCGTGGCGGTTTCAAATCCGTCGTCGTGTCGCGATCGGCGAGCTCCTACCTCCCCCCTTCCCCCCCTCGTCTGCCGCGCCGATTAATTCCCCGTGCGTGACTTCTCGGCCACGCGGACACACCTCGCCGCTCTCTGAATCCTCGGGATATCGTCGTCGCGCAACACTTGGAAAATATCACCGTAAAGCACGTTTTCGTGATAATTACCGTCGGATACAAAATAGTAGATTCCGATTGCACGCATTGGACCTCTGAAAATATCTTGTTCTGGAAACACAGTAATTTCTCAATTCCAGAACCATGTAGAATGTGAGAATTGAAGATCAAGCATATGATGTAGCGATAAATTGTGACACGTAGACTAAGAAATTTGCAGCATTGGGAAAAGTTGCGACTTTTGCGTGGAATCTTTAAATTGGTCTTGAAGACTCTCACGATTACCTGTTTTGTCGTTTTCATACTTTTTGTAGGACAGTCCGAGTATGGCTGAAGCGAGACTCCGGCCATTACTGGCCGAGCATTTGCCAGTACATGCCAGCAGGCGCTACTTCGATGCATTATTGCATAGAAACGAGGCAGCTGTTTGTGGGCTTGGATAACGGAGGCATTAATGTATGTTAAATTACTTTGTAGAATATTTATTTCACTTATAGAATGCACATTTATATTTCTTTACTTTATAGAATATATTAGGATTATCAGGATACTTGTTAGAATCGTTGTAATTGAAGAACGTTGACTTACCGGTTGCAGGAATTCATTTTGGAGCAGGATTACAATCGGATGACGGCGATGCGCGAGTACCTGGCGCATCAGGCGAGAGTGACGGGGATTATTTTCGCGCCAGACTGCGAATGGGTGTTGAGCATAGGTCGCGACAAGTTATTCCAATTGCACAGTTCCGAGACGGGACATAAGCTGGGGTCGTATCAGACGGACGCTTGGTACACCGCACTGCAGTATCCTTTTGACACGAAATCGGAGAAAGAGAGAGAGAGAGAGAGAGAGAGATATTACAAACGTCTATAGAAGCCTGACTCGCGTGTCACAGATTCGATACCCAGTCCAAGCATGCTTTCGTGGGCGACTACTCCGGTCAGATAGCGATGTTGAAGCTCGACAATAATGGCGTTACCTTTATTACCACGTTGAAGGCGCACAGAGGGAGCATTCACACGTTGGCGTGGGACTTCGAGAAGCAGCTGCTGTTCTCCGGCAGTTTCGACCGCAGCATCATCGTCTGGGACATCGGAGGTCGCCAAGGCACCGCTTACGAACTCCAAGGGCACCAGTAAGTGCGGAAAAAACTCAGCTTAGCACGGTGGTCTGACAGATATTTCTCTGCAAAAACTTCATTTCTAAAGTTTTCGCCCTTCAAGCTGTTATAAGTGCAGTTTTATGATGTTATATAATTGAATAATTATTAAAATTATCATTTGTTATTCTTCGATCAGTCATCAGTAAACGTAGTGTTAAAAGTCTTGTTCACTCAAAGGTCAATATTCTGTACTCATTTTCACCGGTAAAAGTGTCTCTGAAAGTAGTGTAAGAGGAACCGTCTGATTGACCGAGAAGCCAAAGAGTGCGGCCAATTGTGTACAGTCCTTAAATCCGTTCAGTGAAACAGATGGTTGAAATAGGTATCAAATTGAAGATTTTGTTGAGCTGAAAACAAATGTATAGGTTAGAAGTTGATTTGGTTTTTCTCTCTCTCTCTCTCTCTCTCTCTCTCTCTCTCAGCAACAAGGTGACCGCTTTGTGTTACGCGAGTGCGGAGCGCGTGTTATTGTCCGGAGGTGAGGATGGTGTGATCGTATGCTGGAACATGGCGGCAAACAGAAAGGAGACAGCAGCTTGGGTCGAGTCTGACACCTGTCAGGTATCCACGTGTAAAATTTTTTCTCGCACGATTGTAACGTCAGTGTTTGCCTTAGATGATTTCAGATTCATTTACATGATGATGAGATGAAAATTCGAAACATTCATCTTAGAGGAAAATGATTTTTTATTTATCTAGATGAAAGATAAGTAGCGGTGTTTATCCAGATAAATGTTAGATGATATTGTTTTCATGAGAAACTTTATAAAAATTTCATCTGGATACTGGCAAACACAGATTACACCGCTGTGTGAGAGAGCGACACGTTTCGCACGTAATGAAATTGCTTCGAAAATTAATCCGGGAATGTCGCAGGCGTGCGGGAGGCCCTTCTTCTGGAACATAAAGGCGATGATGGACCAACGGCAGTTGGGCCTGAGGCAGCACCACTGCCGCCACTGCGGACGCGCATTGTGCGCCCGCTGCACCTCGCAACGAATACCGATACCGACGATGGGCTTCGAATTCGAGGTCAGAGTCTGCGACCAGTGTCAGATACAGTTGAAATCCGAAAAGTAAGTCGCGCTCGTTTCGCTTTCTTCTCGTTCGGGCATGGTGGAAAGCATGCGTGATCTAATTCAATCAACAATTCCGATCTGTCTAGTCAACTGTCCCTGGCGTCTTTCCACGATGCCAAGCACAGCGTCGTCGGGATGGACTTGGACATCGCCAGGCGAAGATTGCTTACAGTCGGGCAGGATCGCGTGATTAAGATTTGGGATATATCCGCGCTCTTTCAGTGAATTTCGTTATGTATGTATGTTGGTAAAAAGAAAAAGAAAAAGAAAGAAAAAAAAAACGGGAATCAAACTACGCGGGATGTACGCCGAGGTATCGTCGTCGTATAGAACTCGGGAGAACAGATTCTCCCGGAGCCTATTTTTGTGATCATACGATTACGTTCGATCGACTCCGATTGGGTCCTTCGCGCAAGTCGCTTCCGGGTGGAGAGTAGAGAGCGAGATAGATCAGTCAGTCAGATTTATCCGTGATTTAACCTAAGCTAAGAGCATGGCTTAATCTCCATCTTTTCTGCATCAGACGCCGAGATAAACGCGGAGGATAGAGTGAGAAGTGGCAGTGTTGATTTAGCGGCTGTTGCTGAAAAAGAGAAAGAGAGAGATATACAGGGCGTCGACGGACGGTTATACTTCCAGAAGAGAGCACCTTGTTCGTGCGTAAACGAATAATCCTTGCGTATATGAACGTACACGCGAAACACACACACACACACACACTTTTCCTAGATTCGAGACACATCAGTAGTCAACGCCGTATGTCGCGGTAGTAACTACGAGTTTTGAAACATCTTTTGGAATATGAGATTGGATTTTTTATGATCGACTTTATACTCTCCCCCCCACACGTTAGATCGTTTCGTGGCGGGACTTTTTCAATTGAGACTTACCCCCGCATTCTGCTTGGCCCATCCCCGAAATTTGCGATCATCTCGTCTCACTTCACACGCCGGTGGCAGCGCACACCTTCCCGAGAGAACACTCACAGAATCGGGCAGCCCGCGGCCTTTCCCGAAATGTATATATCGCAATCACATATCTATGTATGGTTGCACACTTAGTTATCATCGAAGTCCTTTCAAGTACTTTCACGCTGCTACATTATTCATATTTTACATGTATGTTTCCGTTGAAAAGAAAAGAAAAAGAAATCACCACCAGGAGTCTAATATTCGATAGTGTTATGAGCATCGACTATTTTAGTGTATTTTATCAAACGCATAAGAAATAGGCGAGTATTTCAATAGTCTCGAACCCTTTCGTATCGTTTCTACAATATCCCTTAAGCTATATTGGTAACTTGAATATACATATATATAAGGTGAGGCACCTAACTTAGCTACCTCGAGAAAACTTACATGTAAGTTACACGTTGTACAAGAAATTATTATATACAAAAGTTGCATGATCTCGAGGTCATCACACGGTGTATAAATCTTTTTTTTTTATAAGCGCTTCAGAGATTTCAAGGTCAACTTCGTTCTTTTTAAATGGAATGTCGCATTTTTTTGCCATCGTTAGAAAGTATGTTTAATGTTGCGTTTAAACGTATTGCCATTAATTTGCCTGGACCTAAGAAATAACGAGATATTTAAGGAAACAAAGAGTGAAAAAGAAGTTGGAGATTTCATATCTTGGTTGAATGTAATAACATGAACAAGCCAGCCAATAACAATTTCTCGTGCAACGTGTAATTTACAAGTTTTCCGAGGTAGTTAAGTTAGGTGTCTCACCCTGTACACACACACACATACACACACACTATTTTAACTATATTATATTTTGAAACAACTCAAGTAGGTAGCGATATACTTTCACCTAAGTCCTAGTCCTATATTTGTTACAACTTACGATTGTTTAATTATTATTATTATATACTGTTTTATGTGAGTGCCAGCGAGTAAGAGAATATCCGCCGTTAATACGATATATATATATATATTGATCACTACCTTCCGACGACCGAAGTCTTCTCAAGTACAATAAAAATAGGTACAAGCTATGCAAAATTAATTCATCCGATGGCAACCCGACGCTCCCACGATCTTATTGTCGCGCGACAGAATTGTGTCACAATTTATTTTTCGTAAAGAGAATAAAATAAAAGGGACTCGAATGAGAATTTTCGGACAGTTCACGAAATCGATATCAGTGATCATGAGCTTCCATCCTAGACACCTTGCAATATCCGTAGATAAATAACTTTTTTGTAATACCAAAAAAAGTGAAACTCTTTTGTGTACTGTGCTGTGTGTGTGTGTGCGTGTGTGTATGTGTGTGTGAGAGAGAGAGAGAGACACGCATATGCTTCGTTCAATTTATCCCCCATCCTCTTAGTCTCGATGTACATAAAATGCATATCTTGTACCTGAAGCTGTGTGTTATGATCCGTCGCGGTGTGATCTTCGCTGTGATCACTATGATTTCGCACGCGCGTACACGCGCCGGAGAGAGAGACGATTATTATGTAGAAGGAATTATACACACACACACATACACACACACACACACACATACCCTTGTTATTAAAATGCCATCCGGATTTATTCGCGGGATAAATCCTGCATTTTGAGTAGACGTGCATGTGCAAATGCAATTTGCACGGCCCGAGTAAAAAAAAAAAAAACTATACGAATACGAATGTAATGTTTGTAAACTCGAAATAGAAGACATATTACAAGTACTACTGTCGCATTTTTGTATGTTGCTAAAAAAAATATATATATATTACATCCAACCGTAACACACGGAAGCCACATACAAATATACATATATATATATGTATATATATATATATATATATGTGCTTATTGTAAACATTACATTGCACCGGTACTTGACCAAACTTGACCGCGTCGTTCACGTTCGGACGAGTACCCGACATTCGTATAATTGTGTGTATGAGTAACGTGTAAAGAAAAGAAACGTGCGAAAAATGTCGAACTAACGCGTCGTTGCCACTCGCTATCAAAATCACAGTACAGTATGTAACTTACGGAGAATGTAAAGAAGAAGAAAATAGGAAAGGGGGAGAAGGAAAACGACTAAGCTATGTGTATGTATTCAATTCACGTCGAATTGATATAAACTGAAAATATATTTTCAATGTAAACAGCCGCACGGTCTTGTGGATTGAATGTCGAGTCGCGTGTTCGCGCTCGACCGATGAACTTTTGGCCCTTTAATGAATCACTAAGACTCGCGATCCGCAACCGATGGATCCAATCAGAGGCAAGTAAGAGCCAAGTGCTGGTTATTTTTTGCAATTATTTAATTTTGCTTTGCAATGGTTGTTTAATTATTTATTCTTTCGTTATTGCCTCTTGATACCTGGGTATATAAATTTACCTGCTTTGCTCGCGAGATTTCCCCGCCAATTCATGACGTCGTTATCGCTTAACGTTTCCAGAATTAGCCTATCGGCGTGTAGACCCGACGGGAAGAATGAACGTTTCCAAATGCCTCTGATTTCGACAGCGTTCACTGCTCACGAAAGTCCTCGCTAAAGCGGAAGATCCACGATCGACTTCGGGATGGCTCGAGATCGGCGGCGCCGTCGATAAGGCAGGTCGCCGCCGATATCGCGACCTGATCGAGCAGCGTCGGCAAGCGGACGGCGACGCAGCGTGACGCGAGGAGGTGCGCGCACACACACACCGACACGCTTCTTAGCTCGCTGTTACCTGGCGGAGGGATCGGCGGCGGCAGTCGGTCGGTCACACTCGGTCGTTTGCGACGCACGTAGTCGCCGCTCCCGTATCTTCACTCGCAGCGAGGAAACAGCGAGCGTGTGCCGATCGCGCACTCTCGTCTCCCGACTTCTCGGTGGGGAAGAAGAAGCCGGTGGCGGTGAGTCTCTCGTTCGGCCTTACCACCTCCTCCAGCCAGCAGCTTCCACCTGGCACACCCGATCCGAACCGAAGCTCGCCGAGCGGACGTGTTAATGTGCCGGTTACCGTGGCCCATCCTCCGGAACGACTGTTCTTCGTGGCTCTCCAAGTCAAGCCACGGCCTCGTAGCCGCGAACCTCGGCTTTGCCTCGCCGCCGATCGAGCCTGCTGCTGCTTCATCATCAACGTCGTCTCCTTCATCGACGTCGTGAGTCGCGGGCCTCGATCCTCCGGGACCGGACGATGAGAAGCGGGCCTAACGTCGCGTCGGAAGTGCAAGTGTAGTGCCTCTTAATGGAGCGTACAGCCGACGTATAGCGCCGCTCGTCGTGTCGCGTCTCGTCGTCGTGTTTCTCGTGTTACTCGCAACAGGTAGGTGCAGCCTACGGGGGGGTATTTTACGTATCTCTCTCTCGCGGGGGCAGGAGGGGAGGGAAGCGAGGAGGAGCGGAAGTGGTTGGCTATACTCGGTGGACGATGAGCGTCCCGCCGGGCGCTGTCGTTTTCATTTCTCGACGCGGCGCAACTCGACAGCCCGGAGGGCCGAGCGAGCGAACGAGAGCGATTCCGGATGAACGAGGCGGAAGTACGCGCGACGGAGGATCCCAGCTTCTCGTTTCAGCGCGCACCAGCGTGTGTGCGGGCGGCCGAAGGCCGCTGGTGCGCGCGCGCCAAGGATCGCCGCTCTCTCGCTCGCGAGGATGGCCTCACGCCGAGCGGTCATTCGGTTGCGAGGAGGGCCCGCCGTCTCCGATCGGTCTCTCCTCGTTCGAGAGGCTTCGGGAAAGGCGGATCTTCGGGAAGAGAAATATTCGCACCGTCGAGCGCACGCATCGACGGAGATTCGATGGAAAAATTACGCGGGAGGGATATGGTTTGCTCGAATTCACCTGGGGATCCGTGGAAAAACGATTATACATGTATACAAGCATGCGCCGTGTTGCTCGATGACCTGCCATTTCTCCACACTCGGAGAGAACAATATCGTTATTTTCGAGGACGGTAATATCCTTTTTCTTATTTTAAACACAAAAATAATCAGAAACGTAAGATTATTATCACTGATACTATAGTAATATTTAGAAAATTCGTTTTTTTGATTATTTTTGCGGGTAAAATGAAAAAGGGATATTGTTGTCCCAGAAAAGTAACTATATTTCTCTCTCAGTATAGAGCCGCATGGTCTATCCTGCGCTCGTAAAAATTCCGGGATATCTATTATTGCTAATATTATAGTAACACACTTACTAGAAAAATAACTCTTCTAACTACAATTCTTTAATCGTGCAATTATAATTAAAAGTAGCAAAAATGTTTCTCTCAGCGAACGATGTTCGATAATATATTCGGAATCTTTCGGATTTTATCGTGGCTGATCAGCAAAATGTCAGACAATCGTCGACAGCGTAATTTGGATCGGCGCTAATCCTAATTTTACGCACGTATTTATTGCTGCAGCCAGCACCGCGATTACCGCCGGTAAGCGGCCGATTACCCCCGGAGTTTCAATAGCTTCAATAGCGTGGAATCGCGTTCGCACGAAATGAAAAGCAACGGATAGCAACGTGCAATTAATTGCTGAGTGCGCTCGGAGTGCGACCGGCACTCTTCGCGTCTATTGTCGTGGCCGCGAATTACAAACCGGGCCTTATCGGTGAGACGGCCTGATCGACGAAAATAAAAAGATGAGAGAATGACAAGTCGATCGACTGATATACGTACACGGGCAGGTGCGATAATAGTAAGAGATAAGTGCAACAGCGAGATAAAGCTGATGACACGCTGATGATTCCCCGGTTGTTTACAATATATATATACATATATATATATATATATATATAAATTGTATATAAAAACTACAATTATATGCATTAATTTAATACATTGAATATATTATATATTTATACATAGAGTTGAATATTTAAAAAATATGTAATATTACAATAATACTAAATATTTTATTAGGAATGGACATGCATATAACTATCTATTAATATTCCTGAAATATCACTTAATATCGCATATTTCCCGAATCTCGTTATCGCATACCAATAACCGCTTGGAATACCGTTATCGGTATCGAAATATCACGATGTTTTCATTGTATTAATTCTTTCGCAAGAAGCACGATTAAAGGTGCGAGTTAACGAGTGGCGAGACCTTGACGCTTGATCACTCGTTAAAGTCTCCCGCTCTCTCTCGCGCGGCGCCGCCGATGACGCCACTGACCGTTCTCCAGAATATATTTTTCAAGTCAATGACTGCGACTGCTCACGCCCGTGTATCCCTTCAAGTTCACGGTTAGGCGGAGTGTCCACGAGTTTACACAAATGCAGCTAATGATCTTTTTTGCTTCGTTGCTTGTCGACGCGTCTCTCCTAATACTCGAGTTGTAACGAGACGTTCTCAAGTTGTCTTCGAGCCGCCATATCGACACAGATTATCCACCCATTCGCACTCTGCTTCGTGTACGACTCACCACATCACATAACCCAGGTGTTCAAGCACGAAAAAATCTCTTCGTTCGTGCGTTCGATTGTATGTATATGTGAGTACCATACGAAAATTCCGGGTGACGAGAAACGATGATCTCCGTTGCCGCGATCGTGAACATTCGTCCGGTGAAATATCTAGAAAATAAGATATCTGAGGAAAAAAATGTTTCGTACAACCGAGAAAAATGTCCGATCATATCTGATAGGATAATCCAATAAAAAAGTAACGAACGTTACGATATGTCCGATCAAGTCGTGTCTCTTTATCCGATGAAAATTACAACGGATACACAAAAGGCTAATTTTCCGATTAGATTTCACCGGTAACTTCATCGGATACTTTATCGGATTAAATTGCTCATCACTTGGATCGGACAATGAAAGTAACAATCGGATACATCATTTAATCGGCTTATCCGATGGAGATTTTTCTCAGTGTACAACATTTGTCAAGTTTCAACAAACGCATTAAACGGCGATATCCATTTGACCTTGAACGCAAGTATGGAGGAGCTTTCAATGTAAACTTGAAAATTTTTAACGGAAACCATCATTTTTATTTAATATTCTTGTAGCTGACATCAAGATCTTTTCAAAACACTGCAATGAAACTACTTCTGGTTAAGTACTTTCCGAGATATGAATTGACAAAGTTCAGGTACCATCAATATTATCCAAGATGTACCGCGTAGAAGTAGTCCGTTCGGATTACACACACCTTTGTGTGTGTGTGCGTGTGTGTGTATGTGTGAATCGCAGAGAAGTAGGTAACGTAACATTTTGAGGAGCGTCTTCGTGTTACCTACATTTTTTAAGTTCATATTTCGACTTTGGCATCTCTTTCATTTTGCCGATTTAATTTTAATTCTACCTTAAAGCTTCAGTCCCTGGCCATATTATTAGACGCACTTTGATTCTTTAATAGAATACAGATTAGGAGGAGAGGAAAAGCTACTAATTTTATTTTTACTCGATTGGAATAATTTTCGGTGTCAATCGGCGGCTTTTACCTCCGCAACCTTCTGAGATGTCAAATTACTCGTTTTGCCAAAATTTCAAATCAGCTTGATACGCGATAATGGGTCCGCGGTAACACACATATGCGATATCGAGAACAACATCTACGTCAGAGGAGAGATCGATCTTAAAGAGGATCCTCGACAGATCTCGTCCCGTCCCGTCTCGTCTCGGAGTTGTACTCGGCTCGGCTCGGCGGCGGCGGGTACAAACTGCCTAACCCACTTTTGCGA